GATCTGGAAGGCTTCCTGGAAGAGTCAAGGCAGTTCTGAGAAAGACAAAGGCCCATTTTCGACAGTAAAGGCAAGAACATGGGTTCTATTCTTTGGGTAGCATGAGGTCAGGGACCTCAGAGCAAGACCAAATGCAAGAGAGTCAATGCAAAGAACATGTGTTTCAGAATCAAGCAGACTCAGGTACAATTCTGGTTCTGCCATTTCCTTGAATGAGTGACTTCACCTCTCCGAACTCCAGGTTACTTATCTGTAAAGAGACAATAATGAGTCTCTGTCTTACAGAGTGCTTGTGGGTAATCAAAATGAAAATAATGGCTATGATGTGCCCAGCGATGGTGTAGGCTGTGACCCCTCCCATGGAGCAGGGGAATGACCCAGGAATCCTTCTGACACATCGTAGGTGCTTAACAGAGGCACACCAGAGAGCTGTCCACACCCAGAATTACTTCCACTCGACACCTCGGCAGGCCAGTGAACCCCCAATTCTCTCACACGTGTGGTGTGGCTTTGCAAATGAGCTTGTTTCCTGTGTATAGTGGGTGTGAGAATTCTAGACTGGGCCACAGGTTTACCTTAGAGGAGGGTCCCGCACACAGCTACACACACACACACACACCATCCCTATCCCAAACATCATACATGTTATCATTGGAAAATGTATGTATGCATGTATGTTCAGAGGCAGAAGCAGGGACTACACATACAACACACACTGGATCCTACAAGTTTAGAAGCTTAGAGGGCAAGCTTAATTCAGTGAAAACAATGCTGAGGAGCTAAGTGTGTCGGGGGTGGGGAACAGGCAGGAGGACCAAGATAGCATCCAGGGATGTGGCCTCCTCTAACGACCAACTTCAGTGTTGGTTTTAAAATATCTGGAGCTGCATTTCTAATGCTTGTTCTAAAGAACACTAGTTTCCATGAGGCACATGGCCTCAGCTACAAACTGTCGTATATTAATTTCATGGTCAACGTCACCTCTGCAAGTCCCTCCAGAGAAGGAGCCGGATTGATTTTATCTAACCCAGTGTTTCCCAAACTTCTTTGGTCGCAGAACCTTTTATCTGGTATCACCTCTTCCATGTCTATACCTCTTGAGACAAGGAGAGGAATGGAAGGGCAGGCTATACAGTTGGTCCTCCTCAAATGATTGCGTCTCTCTGCAGAGTGTTTGCATTGGTGGTGGTTTTGTTGTTTTTTGTTTTTCAAGTACAAAATTAGCACATGGTTATTTTTAAAAATTCAAACAGTGTAGAGGCATATAAAGAAATACAAGAAATGCAGCTCCCTTCAATCTCACTTCTGAGGTATGCTCACTAGGGACAATTTGGTATGTGTCCTTCCAGAATTTCCTATGCGTGGCTACTGAAAAGCCTAGCGGTTAAGAGCCTAGTCTCTGTAGGTAGATAGAACAAGGCTCAAATCTCCACTCCACCACATATTTGTTTGTTATGAGGCCTCAGACAAATTACTTTAACCCATTTGGGCCTCAGTTTTTGCATCTGTAAAATGGGGGTAATAATAGCACTTACTTCATAGGATTATTATGAGAATTACATGAAATCATGCAAATAAAGGCTTAGCACAGAGACCGGCTTAAAAGAACCCCTAC